GTTCATGTCCTAATACAAGCTTTTGTTCTCTGTAAATATCATTTTACAAAGTGTTTCAGATTTTCCTGCTGATAGGAAGTTGAAGTATTGTCCTGTGTTTTTCTTTTTTGGGGGGGTAAAGGAAAGTTTGGGTCATTAAAGTAGCGTGTGTTGTCTCTGCAAAGTGGCTTTCCTATCAGGGACACTTTGCATGAACTTTGATGGCAGCAGGCCTCAGCAGGCAGGAAGAGCTGATAGGCTGACTTTAAAATGCAAAGTGATTTTCTTTTATGAGCAGTTTTATGAGTAATGTCTGCCCTAAAGTTAGAAAGAGGGAATTAAAAGGATGCACGCAGTCCAAAAATGTACCTTTCCTGATAACCGTGAAGAGAAGCACAGAACATCCACGAGCACAGAGAAGATACTGATGTGGGTTGCTGTGGTAACAGTCCTGAAGATTATTGTGCTTGTTTACGCAAGTCATACAACAGATAAACTACCAGAGAAAAATATATATGAATTATATGTTGTTACCATATTAATCAGGAATAAATAGTGAAAAGGTTTGTTATACTGACATGAGATGTATTCCCGCAGATATTCCCTCTTCCTGGTGGAGAGGTTGTGTAACTCCTGCCTTTCATGAAGCCAGATTAAATGTTCACAGTCTGCTTTTGAACATCATCAGATTTTGGTGTGAAACCTAAAACTACAGACAGTATCAGTCTAAACTGTTTCATTTTTAATATTTCTTTGACTTTCATCAAAACCAATGTTGAGTGTGTCCTACGGTGATGACAGTAACTCTTATTGTGACTGTTACAGATAGTTCCAGGTGCCTTTACTCCCTTTAGAAACCTTTGATCGCACCCTACGTTAATGTCTTTCTTTTTTTTACCACTAGGTGTCACCAAAACATCTAAAATCATACATCAATACATCATTCTTGAGCTAACACCTGCAGGATGAATGAAGCTGCCTTCCTCAAAACAGCATGTAGACTGTCTCAGGGTAACTAAAGTGATCTGTAAATTAATCTCTGTGTGTTTCCTAATGAAGGATACTTTTACAGAGTAGTAGTTACAGGATACCCATACGGCTTCATCTAACTTCAGCAGCTGGAGTAAGTGGTCACTGTTACCTAACGAGTCAGCCCAGGGTGTCCTGGTCTGTCTGTGCACATTCACACACTGGTAGCATCAGACCGGTCATCATCAGCAGACACACACCACGAAGCACAGGCTGAAAGCAGCACAGGGAAATGAGAGGTGTGTTTGAGAGCCAAAGCATGCTCTATAAGACAGTTTACGTTCTTCTTTCAGCTGCAGCTGCACTGCTGTTTAACCAGAGACAGCAGGTTAAGCTCAATGAAAATGTAAACAAACAAAGCTGATGTGCAAGGGTCCACAATTACGTGAGGCTTTACAAAAATGACAAAATATGCAATCAAAACATTACAAAACAATAAGAAAACAAAAATGATGCACTGATGGCAGCTGGGGGGTCACATCAAAGCAAGTTACCCGTGTGAGCTCTGAGTTATCGCAGCTGGTTAACCTGAAGAGAAGCAACCGAGGCTTTTTTTGGGAAAACTATTTAATTTTTGTTATTTTTGTTGTTATGTGTGTCGTGGTTATCGGGGGAAAGCTTCTCAGAAAGGCCTGCCATGTGCCAGCTTGTAAGTGGGTGGCATGTACAAGACACCCAAGGGAGTTGGTATAGGCAGTGGACCGTATCCATTACTAACCAGCACCCTGAGAAGGCTGCCAGATGGGCCTTTTGGATCATCTGTGGCCCCAAGAGACAGCAAGCAGCCAACCAATCAGATCAAAGATTGACAGAAGGAAACGTGTGCACGCCATTTTGTTGTTACACAACTTTCTGGCTGAGAAACAACATGATATTTGATTTAATAAATAACAAAATCATTATGATCTCATCAAGATGATATCAGGGGTTTTGTATGTGCAACTGCTTACAAAGGCCTCCTGACAGGTGGAAGTGCACTAGTCCACTATCATGGTAAATATTACTGCTATAAGATTATTATATTGTTATTATTCTTAAATATTACAGTTTACGTTTGTTACTAACATTACTAATCACTAGCATTTATTACTGAAACTTAGTTATAGTCCAACAAAATGAAATCTGCACAACACCGTTGTTGTTTGGGGTGGTGTGGGAGGGGCTACAGGTGGCTCTGCGTTTACTCATGCTGAGTGACATCGTTCACAGCTGAAAAACACTCACACATTGAGTAAACAGAAGGACATGATGTTATTAGGAGCCCCATTATTGCTGTGTGCTGTTTTTGTCTTTGTCTGCTTTTGTGTCTCCTTTTTTGGCACAGGTGGGCGGGGCTACACTGAGCCTGTGGCACACCTGTTCTTCACCAGACGCATTCATCAGAAGCGTTCTTATGTCTAGTGTCGGAGCATTGTCCTTGCAGGAGTGCCTGTGTGCCTGCTCACCCGTGGAGATCATCTTTATTGGGCTGAAGCTTTGGTTTACATCCCAGCGTCCCGCCTCTCGGTCTCTCCGTGCCAGTCTGGCTGATAACGTCCCGGCTCTGCGTTTCTATACACGTCCTGAATGTAAATACACTGTGCCTGTAAACAGCTCTTCACTGTTAATACATTTCCTCATTGCAAACCCTCGTGTCTCCTGTTCTGCTCTCTGAGACTCTGAACCATGCTCTGAAAGAGCCCAAAATAAGGAGCCTCCTGCCCAGTGAGGGTTTCTGTTGTTATTGTTACCTCGCTGTGGATCGTTCTCTTCAGCTACCTCGTTTTAAATCAATGAACTGAAATTGGGATTTCTTGTACTATGTCCTTTTTTACAGACCAACAGCTCTCACAGGCTCATATGTTCAATGAGTCCCACGTTCATTATTGCTGCTGTGTTGGCTCAGTGGGAGCTCTGCTGTCATCAGCCAGTGTTAACTCAGCCACACGCTGTGACAGCACGAGGTCACTGACACAGGGGTCTCTGGTGGACTTGGTGTAAGAGCAGCAAATGTGAGAATTATCTGTGAAAGACTCGTAGAGGCTCAAAGCTGCCACAGCCTTGAGTTCACTTCCTGCTTTCTGTGGTCTGTCAGAAGTCGGTCACAGTGTGACAACAGAGGCTATTTGGGGTATGCATGTACAGAGTGTATGTAACACTTAAATATTTTAGATCATCAAACACATTTAAATATTAGACAAAGATAAAACAAATAAACACAAACAGCACTTCCTGCAGGATGCTCTGGTAGCACCACACGTCTGTCATCAGACAGGTCTGGACCAGCTCCTACATCTTTCTGATCTTTTGAATCCATTTACTCCGGCAAGATGTTTGAGGTCTGCGGACCAAATGCTTCTAGTTGTCCCCAGGTCCAGATTAAAACACAGAGGAGATCAGGCTTTTGCTGTGACCGCTCTGTGGAATAAACTACATATCAGGACCTCTGCAGCACTGGACACTTGTTCAAAGACCCATTTTTACTCTTTGGCCTTTAATTCTGAGTCTGTCTTTATTTTATTCTTATTATTGTCTTTCATTTTATTCTCCTTTTAAATTTTTTTGATTGATTGATTGATTGATTGATTGATTGATTGATTGATTGATTGATTGATTGATTGATTGATTGATTGATTGATTGAATGATGCTAATCTATTGAGTAGTTTGAAATATCATGACCTGGTGTTCTTAACATGACCTGCTGCTGTATCTGATCCCAGTGACTGATGTTGCTTCAACCCCTTTAACAAAGCCAGGCTCTCACTCCCCTGTAGATACTGCTGGGTTTCCCAGTCCATGATAAACAAAGACAAAGCAAACTTTTTTCCCCTTTTTTGGATAAATATTTAAGTTGTTATAACAAAAAAAGAAATAGTTGAGCTTTTCTAAGGCAAAGACACAAGATTAAAATTATATCACAAAACAGAAGCGATAAAAGAAAACAGTGCAGAGTTTCCATGTGTGGCATTTGCTTAAAATTGAAAAGTTAAAACAGAAGAGAAGAATGAGATGAATGCATGGATGGATGGAAACTGGACCTTTGAAAGAGGAAGTAGTTTAAATGTATAACAGAAAGTGTCCCAGTGTTTATCTAAACCTTTACACACGACAATCCTGCCAAAGGTGGGACAGGGCCAACCACAGAAACAGGACGACGTCTTCTGGGTCCAGAGGTCGTGGAAGATATATCGAGTCATCCCAAAGTGATTCGGATATAAAATGCAAATCAGCTGTTGACTGGCTGTTAAGCCCACGAGGGCCTCTGAGTACTTTCATATGAAAATGCTCCAACATTCAGCTTCCTGCTGCTTTGGTCACCCTGTGACTCCAGAGCTTGTTGGAAACCTCTATCAGCGACTAGCTTCATGCATCACAAGTTCAATTCATTGCTTTAATAACAGAGAAAAAATCTTCTAACTGTCATTCACATCAGAGCTTTAATCCATCAGCCCATGAAGATCTGCTGTGAAAAAGACGGACCAATGTCCTGAATTTGTAATGTAAAAATCGTAGGAAGAGGAAATTGTTCATTAAATGTTCTGAGCATGTGAACAGCTGGGAAGACGTTTATCGTCAGTGTTTAGTGCCTGACCACTGTCACATCTGACATTAGTCACATTATGATATGTGAGTTTTATTAACATAGCACCAGTTAACATTTACATTTCACTCAAAGTGCTGACTTTGCATGTAAATCTTCTCTAGTACACATAGTTCAACATACACATCCATATACACAGTATATACCTGCCTGGAGTCAGCTCTGAAAAGCTGCTGAAACACTGACACTTTCATCATTGTAACACAATGAATCCAAACATTATTAATGAAACAGAGACTCGTTGTTATCAGCAGAATATTATTTTTATCATGTATTTGTCAGTGAAAACAAAGCTGTGACAAATGTGGTAAAGATGTGATGCAGAACAACAGCTCACCATCAAATATTCACCAGCAGCTGCTAAAAACAAACAAAGTGGAGTCACAGAAACAAAATGCATTTGACATCCTTATAATAATTTACTACGTAAAGCAAAACCGAGAGGATTACAATATCACACCACATTTGTTCTGTTCATCCAACATGACAGCTGCAGCAAAAACACCATGGAAACGGCTGAGCATTCGATTTAAATGTAGTTTCAGGGAGTTCTGGATAAATGCCCTGATAGTTCAAAAGTATGTGTTTTGGATAAAACCTTCAGCGATTTGGCCCACAAGAAGATAACAGATTATTATTATTATTATTATTATTATTATTATTATTATCATTATTATCATTATTATTATTATTATGGGACTCTGCATGTGTCACATTACAGGTTGTCGTCCGCAGACAGTTCAGTGGAGATGACTTACTGCTTTCTCATCATGCTGGATTAGTTTTTCCCCTGTTATTGTTGGCACCACTGAACTTCTTAAGAACTCATCCATTTATATGCTGTTTATTAATTATGGAAAGGCTTGTTTAATTCCCCCTGCACCTGGTAAAACTGTCCCCGCAGTTGGACGTCATAGGGACCAAGGCCTGAGCTGGAGGCCTGATTGATGGGACAATAGCGGAGACCATTGTGACAACTTCGGTAGTCGACCGGTTCCTCGTGTTTGAGGGTGAAAAGCCCACTGAAGTTGAAGGGTGGGCTGAGAGGCCCCATATCCAGAGAAGCAGAACTGTCTGGAGAGGAGCTGTCGTTTACAGACTCAAAGGGGCTGCAGAAAGAGCCAAAGGGCCGCAGAGACCGACCCGCTGTGGTGGAGCCCCCAGCCTCGGGACCTGGATTATAGGCTGCGTACAGAGACAACGACTCCTCGTCGGGTTGTGAGATGACACTGCAGGTGTTGAGCTGGAGACAGCCAGCGACAAGGTTAGTGGTCGGCTGAGA